TTTTTTTTTTTTTTTTTTTTTTTTTTTTTTTTTTTTTTTTTTTTTTTTTTGCAGTTTAGGGATACTTTATAAGTTCTGTGGAAAAACTCAGCTGTGTTAAAAAAAGCATCTTTCTAATTTATATGAAGACTTATAAAAGACATTACACAAAATACTGGTTGTCTCTAAGACAAATAGGAGCTGAAATGAAATGTGATAATTACAGGTAATGTATGGGAAAAGTTGTTCACACTCTGTTTTAAAGAAGTTAATGAAAAGAATTTGACTGGAAATGACTAAAATAAGCTATTTTAACTCATCTCTTGTGGTTTAATTATTGTAGAAGAACCTAATGTTGAAAAAAATAAAAATAAAATCATTCTCATGTTGTTGGACTGCACAGACATCCAAAGATAACATGTCGAAGACAAACGGACAAAATAAATATATCGTTAGACCCACTGCACATAAGAAATGTGTTTTATGGATTATTTTACTACTGACTAAGAAAAGTGGAATAAAACAGAACTCCAACCACAGACTGAAGTGGCTCCACACAGTGGGCTCTTTGGGGAATGTTAGGCCTTTGCTTTCTGTTTTTATTTTGCCTTCTTGTTCACTGTGTCTGCAGAGCSCTGATAGAGAAGGACGTCAGCGTCCCTCCTGAAACTTTCCGTAAGCACGTGGACACCAGTCTGACCTACATCAACCGAGCCCTGAAGCAGATGAGCCGCCTCTTCCTGGTTGAGGACCTTGTGGACTCCCTGAAGGTGAGMAGCAGTTCTGGTCCCGTCCTCCACGTCTGTTGATTCACCTGCAGCTGTTAATGTGTTGACTTGAAACACATCAGGAACCACAGGACAAACTCCAGCACAGTTCAAGATGGCCGCCTCATTAACTGACCTTGGACTCAAAACKTTTAACTCTTTTCTGTTTTTAAAGATGAGCTGAAAAGTGGTGACGCTGCTCCCCAAAACAGCTGAAACCAGWTGTTTACAAATGGTGTACAAAGACACACAACCTTTTTTATCTCACAGCCTGACAGTAAATCAGAGTAAAGCTTTCATTCTTTAAAATCACTTAAGATTCACAATAGTTTCTGTTTTCTAGATATCAAAATCATTTTTCTCTCTTCAGTGAACATAAATAAAGATCACTCTGCCTGTGAACCACTCAGGAAGGCCCAGATGATTTGGAAACCTTTCAATTGTTAGTTGACAGTATTTGAGTTACCTGAAAGCACACCTGTGGRTACATTTTAAGACGGAGCTCAAACACTCTGCCTCTCTGTGTGGCATCATGGGAAAGTCAAAATAAAAGAGAATGTCCTGACATCCAGCTCAGGAAGGAGGTTCTGTGTTCCTGAGATKAATCAGTCTAAACATAARCTAAAGRCTTGRTGACGATGCTGTTGAAGCTGATCAGAGTCAGAAACCAGCCTGGACTAAAATGACACTCAGATTAAGAAGACATTACTCCAAAGACRACATAAGAACACAGATTACAGTTTGTAGATGGACACGGGTCTAAACAGCAGAATGTTTRRACACATGTCCTGTGGTCTGATGGAACTAGACCATCGTTGCATTTGGAGGAGAACAATGCCCCTTTTCCACTAGTGCCACTTAGTGTAGTGTCGGTACAGTCAGTGTCGGAATGGTTCGGACCGGTTGGTTTTCCACTGATGTTCCAGTCCGGTTCCAATGGGTGTGTTTTGGGTGGTTGGTGGAGGTGGTTTTTAGGTATTTTGAAAAAAAATTAATGGGCAAAATGAGAGATGGAAACACATTTGATGAATAACTTTTGAAATTTTAAACATTTGCAAAAATTTAGACAATCAGTGATGAACAGTGTTCTGACGTTGCATTTTGGTGTCAGCTGGGGCCGGTTGGAACCACAATGAAGTAGATACTAAAAGTGCCGGTTCCATGGATCTGGCCTAATGGAAATGGCTTGGAACCGTACAAACACTACACTAAGTGGCACTAGTGGAAAAAGGGCTCAAGTGAAGCTGAGAACACCATCCTTACTGTGAAGCACAGAGGAGGCAGCATCATGATGTGGAGCACCTGAACAGTCAAACAGCTGCTCTCTCTCTCTGTGCTCACCTTTCCAGTCACCAGAACAGAGAAGGTCCTGAGTAAACATGGACAATAACAAGATGTGCTGACTCAGTAATYCTGGTTTAAACATCCTAAAAGTTCCAAAGCTGCCACACCTTCAGAATAAAGTTGTTTTTATAATATATTAAAACAATGTAAAGCATATCACATATATTTATATATTTATGCACTTATAATAGGGCTGCCATGATTACTCAACTAGTCACAGTTATTGTCGACTGTTAAAATCGTCAACTAATTTAATAGTTGATGCGTCGTCTTTTTCTCTCCTTCTCTCCAAACTGTTGCAGCATGTTCCACTGCCACATCTGCCTATCTGTCCTTGACACACATGCACAGTAGTGGTAATTAGGGCTGCCACAAACTATTATTTTTACACTCGACTAATCGGTGGTTAGTCGACTATAAGAAAAAAATACAAAGTTAGAAAAAATGACGCATCAACTATTAAATTAGTCTTTGATGATTTTAATAGTTGACATAATCGTGACTAGTCGACTAATCGTGGCAGCCCTAGCTTATAACGAAACATTGAAATGTACTTTATTTTGAAAAACTAACACCACCAGTTCTTCCTGTCTGGCTGCAGAGCTGTGCAGCTCTGCTGCTCTCATGAGTTAAACTAGAGGCGACAGTCTGAAGTAGAGGGAGAGAAAAGGTGAAATGTACCTAATGAAGGTTCAGCTGAAAGCATTTTTAGTTCAGCCTGTGAGAACAAGCCTGATGTTAACATATGTTGCATCTGAACCACAGGCTTTGACCAATAGGACTGCCTCAGGCAGCTAAAACATAATCAGACTGGTGGACCTGTCCCGCTGCCTGTCCACTGGACATGGAAACTATTTCTTTTGTTTTGGCCATTTATTCTGGAAAATAAAAGAAATGTATTATTTAAAATGCTCAGTTTCTCCCTCCTGCTGCATGTCACACAGACAAACCATTAACAGCTGTACTTGTTTTCCACACACAAGTTTTTGTTTTTATTGCCTCTCACAGAGATGAAAGACGATGTGGATGTTTGCTCGCTCGTAAGTCCACTTTACTAATGCAGCAGTCAGCTTCTGCTCTGAGAGTGCAGAACCTGATCAAATTTAAAAACCTAACCCCAGGATCATCCCTACACCTACTGCTCCTGGCTTGGTGGATGCTTTGACCTCTGTCCGTCCATAAAAGGACAGCAGTGCAGCTGGGTTATCAGAGACGTGTCCACTGCCAATAAAGGTGATGATCCGGGTGTCAGAGAGTGAAGGTGATTCAAGTACAGTCAGGTCCACACATCTGAGCTCCAGTCTGGTTCTTAGTGTAGATTCTCTCAGCACTAACTGGTTCTCAGGAGTTGAGAGATTTTCAAATATTGCCATACATTTAGAGCAGTGGTGTCCAAAGTCAGTCCTCAAGGGCCAGTGTCCTGCATGTTTTAGGTGCCGCTCTGGTTCAACACAGCTGAACCTAAGGAGAGCTTAATTAGTAAGCCTCTGCAGACCTTCGTAGCAAACGGAGGTGGAACCAGAGCAGCAGCTAAAACATGCAGGACACCAACACCACTGAGCCACTACCACGTCTCAACGATGTTGGGTCTCTRTAAGTAAAGAACACCATGAAGCAGGATACTGAGCTAAAGTTTAGCTTGTTAGAGTGACACGTCAGTGTTATTAATGTCAAAGATTCAGCTACTCTCACTGAGCTGGTGTTTTTAAATGTTTAACCAGGCCAACATTGTAAATAAGAAACTGTTCTTAATGTTTTGCCTGGTGAAATAAAGGATAAATAAAATAAGTCTACCAGGCCAGCAGGTGATAGGCATCCATCAAGAGCTGCTTGTTTTTGAACTTCAGAGTTTTGAACAACAGAAGTTCAGTTTGTCACAAATCTGCATCAGTAGGTCCTCAGAAGTAAAATAGTGACYATTAGAGAAACGGCATTTTCTGCTAAAATAGTAATGCTGAGCTCTGAATGAAATTAGCTGAAGAAGCTAGAGCTAAGGTGTAAACATAGAACTCTAGCTAAATACTATAGCTTACAAAATCTAGCTGAAAGTAACATGGCAGCTGAAAGCAGAAAAATGCTAGTTAAAAGGTTCAAATAAAGGATAGCCAAAAGCTAACATCAGTTAACAGTAAAAGCCAAAAGTAGCAAATTATAGCTGAAAGCTAAAGGTAGCATAAAAAACACATAACAAATGAACTGAAGCAGATTTTAAAACAATGTTTTCTCTGAAAAAATCTTTGTAAAGTAGTTAATAATTTAAAAACCTAAAGTCAGCAATGATGTTCAAAATAAGCTGAGTAACTAAAATAGCCCAAACGATGTAGAAGCGTGAGAAATGAACACCAGCAGTGATAAGAACACAGTTAACCCCAACATCCCTGCAGATTATTCTGCTTCAGTTTGAGACTAGAAACTGTTTCATTCAGCACACATGGATGAATGAATGAAGCTGCTGCAGGGTTTCTAACTTCAGCATAAAGTGAAGTTGATAATGGACTGGCTTCAGAACCAGGTCTGATAAGTTTCACACCAGATTCCTGAAGCTCAGTCATTTGGGAGGGGCACCTTGGGTTTGAAAGGAGCCGGTTCAGGTGGTTCCTCCCCAACACCTCCCAGATTATCATTAGATGTGAGACTTTCTCTGTATCTCCCAGACTCTGAGCTTCTATTTGTTTAAAATAAACAGAGCTTTGTAATCAGAACATGGTGACTGTATAAYATTCTGACCATATGAGTCACGTGAGGTGATGCACCAGATTTCTGCAGTGAAACTAGTGACAGACACGTTACTTTCCTGGTCACATGGGTAGTATCAGTATTTCAGAGGTTTTCATGAAGTCAGCAGGAAACAAAACATTAGATTGTTCATATTGTAACTTTTAGAGTTTGACCAAAACAACTCCAACTTTGTCATTTTTCATCAGAAGGTCTCAGTTTAAAACTCCTGACATGAAAAGCAGAGGGCTTTTCTTTAATGACAGTTAAAATCACATCTGTTTATCTGGTATAAAACATGACTGCAGCTAATTTGTATTCTAGTCTGAAATGTAAACATTCATTAATCTGCTCTAGACCCTACAACAAGCCTTCATACTTTCAAACAAATCAGATCCTTGTCCAAACAGGACCGGGTTAAGCAGGTCGTCCCTCCCTGACAGGTGCAACAGCCCTGACAGGAACMGGGAGGGACACCTTGTTGGACTGTGGGTGTGTCTGCAGCTGTGAGATGTCTGAGCTGGAGACAGGTGTAAAAATTATTYTTATTTATAAGCTCAGAGAATTCTGTCCCAAACTGTTGAATGAGACTGAGAGGATTCTGAGAGGACAGCAGGAGATTGGAGCTAACAGATCTTTGCTTGGYGTTGTAAATGTTTTTACTAATAACGCTCATCTTTTATTGTAAAGTTTAGACTAAGACCATCTTAGGGAGAGAACAGGCACGTAAAGGTCCTGTCACTGTAATCTTTTAGACAACTAATTCTGACTTATGAACATTTTCTTATGACTATTTTACTCATGGGCATATCTTTGATCTAATTGTTAGCATTACAGTATACGTGTCCTAAAGAGGCTTCCATCTTCAGCTGAGACATCTTTAGTGTTGGACAAACTTTTCACAAGTTGGCTAAAACATTTTTTTATGTGACAGGACCTTAACCAATCTGTTCTAATGTAAAAATAAGATTCTGAACAACTGCAATATCGCAACTTAACTTGGCAAGACTCCACCCCCCCCCCCCTTTTTTTTTTTTTGTTTGGCGAGAATTGGCTTGACTTGGTGACACTTGAGGAGAGTGTCAGAACATTCTGGTCAGAGATTGCAAGACTTGACTTGGGGACACTTGACTTGACAAGACTTGACGACTTGACTTAACAACTTGACTTGGCGACACTTGACAAGACTTAACGACTTGACTTGGCAACACGGCTTGGCGACACTTGATGAGACTTAATGAGACTTAATGACTTGACTTGGCGAAACTTGACTTTGACGAGACTTAACGACTTGACTTGACAAGACTTAACAACTTGACTTAACGACTTGACTTGGTGACAGTTGACTTGAAACTTAACAACTTGACTTGGCGAAACTTGACTTGGCGACGATTGACAAGACTTAACTACTTGGCGACACTTGACTTGACAAGACTTTACAACTCGACTTGATGAAACGACTTGGCGACACTTGACTTGGCGAAACTTGGCTCGACTTGATGAGACTTAATGACTTTACTTGACGAAACTTAATGACTTGACTTGACAACACTTAACGACTTGACTTGATGAGACTTAACAACTTCACTTGGCAAAACTTCACTTGGCGACACTTGATGACTTAACGACTTGACTTGGCGAAACTTGACTTGATGAAACTTAACAACTTGACTTGGTGACACTTGACTTGACTTAACGACTTGACTTGGCAAAACTTGACTTGACGAGACTTAACGACTTGACTTGATGAGACTTAATGACTTTACTTGACGAAACTTAATGACTTGACTTGACAACACTTAACGACTTGACTTGATGAGACTTAACAACTTCACTTGGCAAAACTTCACTTGGCGACACTTGATGACTTAACGACTTGACTTGGCGAAACTTGACTTGATGAAACTTAACAACTTGACTTGGTGACACTTGACTTGACTTAACGACTTGACTTGGCAAAACTTGACTTGACGAGACTTAACGACTTGACTTGGTGAAACTTGACTTGGCGAGAATTGACAAGACTTAACTACTTGGCGACACTTGACTTGACAAGATTTTACAAATTGACTTGATGAAACTTGACTTGACTTGACAAGACTTAACAACTTGACTTAACGACTTGACTTGGTGACTCTTGACTTGGCGAAACTTGAGACTTAACAACTTGGTGAAACTTGCCAAGTCAAGTGATGCCAAGTCAAGATTAATGACTTGACTTGATGAAACGACTTGGAGAGACTTGACTTGGCGAAACTTGACTTGACTTGGCGAAACTTGACTTGACTTGACGAAACTTAATGACTTGACTTGACGAAACTTGATGACTTGACTTGACAAGACTTAACGTCTTGACTTGGTGAGACTTCAGGAGAGTGTCAGAACATTCCATTCAGTTTCCAGAGATATTTTGCTAACACTTCAAACACAAACACGCATGCGGTCAGTTATAATCTCCATTCTGCCTTCAGTGGCAGGTGATGATTCTGTGGGGGTGTCTGTAATGACAGGAAGTGATGTCATGTAAAACAGGAAATGCTGACTCACCTCATGGTTCTGTTTCTCCTGCAGTTGGCTGTGGTCATGTGGCTGTTGACTTACGTTGGAGCAGTTTTTAATGGAATCACCATTCTCATCCTGGGTAAGCATCAAGAACAAACTTTTCTTTTCCCAGAACTCCTCTGGGTCTCAGATCTTCAGATCTGTGCTGAAGGACAGTTGTTGGACAGATGAAGGACAGATGGGACAGATGAAGGGCAGATGGGACAGATGAAGGGCAGATGGGACAGATGAAGGGCAGATGGGACAGATGAAGGGCAGATGGGACAGATGAAGGGCAGATGGGACAGATGAAGGGCAGATGATGGACAGATGATGGGCAGATGAAGGGCAGATGATGGACAGATGAAGGGCAGATGATGGACATCTGAAGGACATCTGATGGGCAGGTGATGGGCAGATGGACAGATGAAGGACAGATGGATGTCTGATGGATAGATGAAGGACAGATGGATGTCTGATGGACAGATGAAGGACAGATGGATGTCTGATGGATAGATGGACAGATGGATGTCTGATGGATAGATGGACAGATGGATGTCTGATGGATAGATGGACAGATGGATGTCTGATGGAGAGATGAAGGACAGATGGATGTCTGATGGATAGATGAAGGACAGATGGATGTCTGATGGACAGATGAAGGACAGATGGATGTCTGATGGACAGATGGACAGATGGATGTCTGATGGACAGATGGACAGATGGATGTCTGATGGACAGATGAAGAACAGATGGTGGACAGATGGTGGACAGATGGACAGATGGTGGACGGATGGGCAGATGATGGACGGATGAAGGACAGATGGATGTCTGATGGACAGATGAATAAGTTTCCTTTGGACTGAGGGGTCAGCCTGTGGTAGCTGTCAGAACTGTCAGTCTAGTTTTAAACAGCAGTTTAATCTTTGGTAATGTTCAGGTTGGAGCCATGACAAAATGAAAATCTGWAGTTTTTAAAGATGTTCTGGTCAAGAGTTTTACTCATCAGAGTCCTTTAAGAGCCCTGGTCCAGTACTTCCATTATTGGATTGTTTCAGTTTGGACTTTTGTATCAGGTCTACCTCATTCAGACAGCTGAAAATGAGTCCTGTGCTGTAAAAACACAGGCTCAGTAAGCAGGAGGTTTTGTTGTTTGCACAGCTGTATTGTTGGACGTGCACATTATTACTCCACACACCTCTATCCACCTCAGCAGCCCGACTCGTTCATGATTGAATCTGCTGGAGTAGATTTTAGAAACAAAGATCTGTAAATGTGGACCAGTGATGCAGGTCAGTGTGGTTAATAGAACATTTACCTCAGATGTTTTATCATCCTTCCAGAAGGTGACCTGTGACCTTCAAAGCTTTTCTGTTGCTAGTGACCAATGTGGGTGAAACTCCTACATTGGTTTTTACACCTGGTATTCCCATCCAGGTAGTAACCAGGCTGGACCAGGGTTCAGGGTGGGATGGTCTTTTGTGTGAGAGAAAAGCTCCACTCAGCAGTACAAGTCCTGAGTGGAGCTGGAAACCAGACTGTCTCTGCTGTGGGAACCTTCATAATGTTAGAGAGATTCTAGATCATTAGTTCATCAACTGGTCTCCAACAGGAACAGCTGAGTGACATGCTAGCTTCAGCTGTGTTAGCTTCAAGCTTTAGCTTTGTTGAACTCAGAGTATCAACTGCAGCCATCGGCAGTGGAAACATGCTCACAATTTGTCTTTCACTTGTGACTAAATAAACGTGTGAAGCTGACCCAGACTGTTGCAAAGAGAATTGACTTTAACACAAAGTAAAAAAAAGGTATTTAATGAAATCCTGTCTTTGTGTGTTTTAGCTGATRTCCTGCTGTTTGCAGTGCCTCCCATCTATGAGAAAAATAAGGTAAGACTGAGAGAAGAGCTCTGCTCAGCCTGAGGTCAGGGAGTGATGTCACCATGAGTCCAGCTGCTGTCTGAAGTCATGTCATGATGACACACTGCTGACTGACACACAAAAGAACTAATCATTTCTTCACATGCTTTATAAGACTCACAAGTAATACTTTACCACATACTGTACAGCAGGATTGTGTTAATAATGGAGTCATCAGATGTTTAACATGTCTCAGTTGAACAGGATGTGGATTCTGTCATCTTCCTGTTGTCTTAATGATGATGATGATGATGATGATGATGGACAGTTGGTCTCACTGGTCCTGTGGCACCATTGAGATGTGACACAAGTTAAAAATAAATCCACTCTGCTTCAGTCAAAGTATTTTAGTTTTATTTTCTTGGTAAATACTTTGACCTTTCAAAAAGAATTTAATGTTCTACTGAACCACAGCTATTTGTTATATTAGTGAAAGTGAAATAACAGACATTATTTTTTAAATTTCTGTGTCTAYTTATTTGTTTAATCACTGTATAGTTGCACACTTTTTAGGTTAATAAATATGGTTACAATGGAAATGTGTAAATCAGGGAAAAAAGTGGAATTTAGAAAAATGACAACAGAATTTGGGAAAAAATAAAATAGGTTTTGCAGGGCCCTACACTGCTGTGGAATGATAAGAGTCTGCATTTTACTGTTTTTTTTTAATATATCAGACTTTTGAAAGTTGAAGTTTTGTGTTTTTGCCTCTTAAACATGATGATGTTGGTGTTCAGCCATCATTCAGTGTTTGATGTGTCCTCTGTGGTTAGCTGACAGCACACAGCCTTCTGTAGTAAACACTGCAGCCAGACACAGGCAGGTCTACCCTCAGTTTGTTTCATTACAGATACAAGTGAACATTTCTCTGGTTAAATGTTACAAATATCAGTTCAACACAAGCCTGCATCACACACCACAGCTGATTCTGACCAGATCCAACTCATCCAATAGTTTCCATTGAGACACATTCACCAGGATAACTCACCGTTGATACATTTAGAGGTTTTTGCTTCTTCTTTGTTTTAAAGGGATCCCTGATTAACTGTATCATTATACTTTATTTAGTAAATATTTAACTGTAAAATAAAGACTGTAAAAATACTGTAGGCTGTTTAGTTTTTATCATTTTTAAACTAAAAGTTTATGTATTAGCTCAGCGCTACACATTCTCCTCTCATCACTGAGGTCCTCCATCCACATGACAGAGAGAGGAACACAAAAATGACTCAGCCTGCAACTGAAAATATGGATGGAGGACCTCAGTTTAGCTTGTTTGTCGTGCTAGCGCCGAGCTAATACATATAAGGCAATATAGCGTCGGTGCTAGTGCAAAGGCTAGCAGGCTAAGCTGAGGTTCTTCTTCCATGAAGCAGCTCTGTTGTCCTCCATCCATGTTTTCAGTTCCAGGCTGAGTCATTTCTACCTTCTCCTCTCTGTCAACGCTCTCTGGTTTCATTTAAAAGAGTCGATCATCAGATATTGTCCAAGATTAACCTTCAGGGTGGATATAACTCGCTAGCAGCCTCACACCGAGGACCTAGTTGATGTCATCATTTACCCAGAATGCTTTGAGTGTAAATAAAACCGCTCCGTCCATGTTAAAATATATATTTTTTAAATTGTAAAAACTAAACAGCCTACAGTATTTTTACAGTCTTTATTTTACAATTAAATGTTTATCAAATAAAGTCTAATGTTACAACTAATCCTGGATGTCTTTAACTCACTTGGACTCAGCCTGGATGTTGCAGCTCTGAACTTAGCGAGGTCTTTAAAGCAGATGTGATGGAGTCTTTGTTTCCCTGCAGACCCAGATTGATCATTACATCGATCTTGCACGTACTCAAGTCAACACCACACTGGCAAAGTAAGTATGAAGTGATGTTTGAAACATCAGGAAATAAGAGATTTCTGTGGATTATCTGTCTTTTTATATTTGATCAGAGTGAGCCTTGGTTAGATAAAGAGAGAAGATGTCAGTTCTTACCTGCTTTAGTCTTTATTAAACCAATATTTTAGACTTCACTGGTTTAACTGTAGAAACTCCTCCTCCTCTGAAGGAGCAGTCTTTCTTAGATGCAGACCTAGCAGCTGCTAGTGTTAGCACTGAGCTAACACTAGCAGCTGCTATTGTTAGCTCATTGCTAACCCTCAGAGTTGAAGCAGCAGCAGAAAGAGCTTAAAGCTGTGTTCTTCGGCTCATGTTGTGCTCTTCACTCACAGGTTGCAAGAGAAGCTTCCTGGAGCTGTGAAGCGCACCAAAACTGAATGATCCCTCATCAGAAGCCTCCATGTCACCATTATCATCATCATCATCATCATCATCATCATTGTCATCATCATGTCCCCCCACCCCTCCCTCCCCACCCACCCAGTCCTAACCCCTCCTCCCTGCTCCATCAGCACACCTCACACTAACCATGCTAGACCCACCCCTCTCCTGCTCTACTGTGCAGCTTAACGCAAGAGAAGAGCAGCCCACCTGCAGCTCGGGGCCCACACCACCACAGCAGCTGCAGCCCACCCTGGCAGGCTGTGGACCCGCTACAGTAGATGGAGACAGACTGGGGTGAATTAGACTGAATGACCTGGTTTCATCATGTCCACTGAACACAGCCAGGTGATGGCTGGCTGCAGAGTCCACCTTTGTTCAGGATGAAAATGTTTGAAAAATAAAGTCCCTCCAAACCCACCTGCTGTGCTCTGTACCTGCAGCTGTCTGGACTCTGCTCACAGACACTGTGTTCATGTTTCTGTAATGCACTGACCCCACCCCGACCCCCCCACCCAGCAGGTTAACAGACAGGAAGGCTGAGCCAGCTGTGATAGTTTGGTTTAGTTCACCTCCTGGTGTTTCATGTAAATACACCTCAGCCTCGCTTTTTATATTCAACAAGCCCCGCCCCTCATTCACACCGCCTGACTACTGTTGCACCTGCTGAGCTCATGCTCACCTGTACATTTGGATTCTAATGATGCTTCTTACTGTTGTTGAAATAAAGGCTAGGCTGGCTGCTTGAGAACAGCTCTGTAAGAGTTCTGTTAGGTGTTGCAAATATTTTCAGCTTTTTATTCTGTCTTTAGAACCCTGATAGGTTAGATAGCAGACAGACCCCCAGTCCTACATGTGGACCCCTTTACAGCTGGAGCAGAACACGGGCCTGATTCACTGTTTACTGTTTAACATCCAGCCCACCACCAAGCCACACCCGAATTTTATTTATTTCATTTAATATAAAAATAGAGTTTGAATCATTTGTAAATTTAACATTTATGTTTAAATGCACAAAAAATAAAAATCAAAGATGATATTTGTGACCCATCACATTGAAATGAGGATGTAGTCAAAGTGGGATATGGAGAAATAGGCAACTATAGGGTTTTGATTTAATTGTATGCAAAAATTGCATTTTCTCRAAAYAATGAATAAATRTCTTAATGTATCATGTGAATGAACTGTCTGAAATATAATCAAAAAAATTAAGCTTTTTTTGAGCAGTAGCAGCACATCTGATTTTGAGCAAAAACACCTTAAAATGTTGATTTTTCCTGTGAGTTAATGTTTTTGTTTCTTTCCAGCTGGGAAATATTGGTATTTAGATGCTATCTGATCTTTCCTCTTTATATTAACATCAAAAATTACTCATTAAAATTACATGAAATTAGTATTCAGACCAAACAGTAAAGTATTATGGTACCCAACAAGACAAATGAAGTCATATATATGGATTTACTTCTGATCTCAGGATGATCCAGGTATCAAAATGTAGCTTTTAAAATGTGATGTCATTTTGATCAAATTTTGACTTCATCCTCATTTCAATATGATGGGTCACATTAGTTGTGTTACCTGCTGCAGGTAATGGGCAAACACCCCCACATGAGCCCACAGTGATGTAGGTCTGATCCGTGTAGATACCAGAATAACTGACCTGCTTTCTGCTCCACACCTGAGTCCAGCTGGACCTGATGGACGTCCTGGTGTGGTTCTTGTAGATCTGTGTTCTCCTGACTGCAGTACAGTGCACGTGTGTCTGCTGGAACCTTTAGCCTGTGGTCCGGTCGGAGCTGACCTCTGGTTCAGGTGACCTCCTTGTGATTGTTAGAGTGGTAAACCCTTAGTGTTGGCCCTGCAGCTGTCTCCATGTTGTTCTGAAGAGATGTGATGTAAATGACACATATGTTAGTGATTTCTGTTGTTTTCATGTGTCCCTCTGGATGCTGAGTCAGCAGCTGAAGGTCTTTAAAGCTAAAGTGTGCAGCTTGTTTCCCTCAGTTCAGGACAGAGTGCCCACAGACTGGCAGCAGCAGGTGTTGAGCTGGGTTTGGTGTTCAGGTTAAATGTGACACCAGAAGTGAGAGGAGATRAAGGCTTAGGGACGGTCCAATCACATCACTATATTTATATTTCTGCTTAGAAATCCAACATTTTCATCATTTCAGCTCTGATAAGTTGTTTACCTGTTCATGAATCTGGAAATAAGAATTTGTCCAAATGTTTGTTTACATGAAGTCATCTGTGCACAGTTTGACAACCAAGTGGTTCTGATGGATCTGAATGTGGGAAAGCTGCATGCTGTAGCTTAGAGGATCTCTTTTCTTTATCTGACATTTTGGCCCAACTAAAACTCTCCTCTTGTACAAATGTTTTCTTAAAACTCAGACAAACCGAGTGTTTCCTTTAACTCTAAACACTGACTCAGTTCAGACGAGCTTTAGGATGATCAGCAGGTTCTTCTTACATGATGTAAATCACAGCACTCACCAGCAGGATTTACTGGTTCTTGTTTTGTTTTAACCCCTGCTGAGAAACTTCAAGCTAACGTCAGGAGTTGCAAATGTTCAGATGTGCTGAGAGGAAAGAGTGGACTCTGAACTGTGACAGGTCGGCTCGTTGAAGCTGCAGATTTCTGATTAAAGCCAAGTGTTTTCACTAAAATCACTGAAGGTGTCGTATGTTTCCCTCACAGCATGTTGCTTTTGTTTTAGTCCCTCAGTGATGAGTGAGTGACAGGAATGTGTTTGTTTGTCTTTGAATTCTACATAAAGTTTATTGATTAACAGCAGCTTGGTTTGTAGCAGCGATGCCTTCGGTTCCAATGTTTGACATTTTAGGAAAGATGTTGCAGGAAATAAAGAAGCTGAAACAGTATGTGGTCTCTGTACTGATGTCAAGTAAAGTTAATAAAACCAAGTCAAAGATCTGTGGCTCTGTGGATCTGTTCTCATCACTTTAAAACATGTGGGCAACATGTGGTCTGAGGGCCAGAAGTGGCCCTTCAGCCATCCCAATTGGCCGTTGACATACATTTTATAAAAATAAAACTTGAAATGAAATAAGTATTAAGAGATTTCCTCATATCCCAAGGTGTTAAACTACATTTGTGTTCAGAGTTTATTCTGTTCTGTTTGTTTACGTTGCAGTTTTTACAGGAAACTGAAGACGTGGACTTCCTTCAGGTCCAGTCTCCACAAAGCTGCTTTCAGTGAAATCAGAACTTCTGCCAGTTGTTTACAACAGCCATCAACTTCTGACCTGAAACTTTCAGGTCTCAGAATGGAAGCCTTTCATAGAGGAGTGGGGGTCCAGCCATAGTTACATTTTATAAAACAACAAAGTAACCATTACCTTCAGTTGTTCTGTAAATCCTGTGTTTTTCTAAATTAATTTAGCTTTGCATTAAACTATTTAATCACCTTGAAGTTGATCTCAGTCTCTAAGATCCTCCTGCCATTTCTGACACTCCCTCTTCAGTGCATCTTCACAGTGCTTCACACTCTTTACAGCCTTTGTAGGAGTGTGCATTTGGTTGTAGAGAAAGAAGCAACATGATATAAAATGATCTTTGGAAAAATAATCCAGGATACAGTTGAACCTTAACTGATCCCAGGCTGGACCTGGAAATGTACATTTTCTGAAGAACAGGAGTGAGTAACAAGATGTGTCAGCTTGGTAAAATCTCTCCAGTCATCTTCTCATATTAATACATCAATGTTGGGCTGCTTTTTATGAAGAAACTATAAATATAGATAAAAAGGAGATAGTTTGACCATAACTGGAGCTGAGGTCACTGAGGTAGTTAAAACACTCCGGGGGGATCTGCCCTGATTTCCTCAAGGCTCTGAATACTGTGGGGTTGTCCTGGTTGACACACCTTTGGAACATCATGTGGACATTGGGGGCAGTGCCACTGGATTGGCAGACTGGTGGTTATTCTCTTTAAAAAGGGGGATCGGAGTGTGTGCACCAATTACAGGGGCATCACTCTCCTTAGCCTCCCCGGTAAGGTCTATTCACTGGAGAAGAGGGTCCGATCAATGGGCCAACCTTAGAGTCTGGAAGAACAGTGAGGGTTCCATCCTAGCTGTGTGGAACACTGGACCAACTCTTTACCCTCACTAGGATCATCGAGGAGTCGGGAGTTTGCTAATCCAGTCTACACAGCTGGGCAAAGTTGTTGGTACCCCTCTTTTAATAAAAGGAAAATTCACAATGGTCACAGAAATAACTAGAATCTGACAAATGGACTAATAAATAAATAAATAAATATGAGTGAACAAATGAAAGTCAGACATTGTTTTTCAGACATGATTCAACAGAATTAAAAATAAATAAATAAAACTCATGAAACAGGCCTGGACAGAAATGATGGTACTCTGAAAACAATGTGACCAAAGGGACATGTTAAATCAAGGTGTGTCCACTAATTAGCATCACAGGTGTCTACAGTCTTGTAATCAGTCAGTGGGCCTGTATACAGGGCTACAGATACTCACTGAGCTGTTTGGTGACATGGTGTGTGGACCACACTCAACATGGACCAGAGGAAGACAAGGAAAGAGTTGTCTCAGGAGGTTAGAAAGAAAATGATAGACAAACACGTTAAAGGTAAAGGTTATAAGCATGTTAAAGGTAAAGGTTATAAGACAAGCATGTTAAAGTTAAAGGTTATAAGACAAGCTTGTTAAAGGTAAAGGTTATAAGACAAACATGTTAACATAAAAGGTCATAAGGCAAATATGTTAAAGGTAAAGGTTATAAACATGGTAAAGGTTATAAGCATGTTAAAGGTAAAGGTTATAAGACAAACATGTTAAAGGTAAAGGCTATAAGACAAACAGGTTAAAGGTAAAGGTTATAAGACAAACATGTTAAAGGTAAAGGCTATAAGACAAACAGGTTAAAGGTAAAGGTTATAAGACAAACATGTTAAAGGTAAAGGCTATAAGACAAACAGGTTAAAGGTAAAGGTTATAAGACAAACA